TGTGTAATATCACTTAAATGTGGAATCTAAAAAAAGCCAAAATTGTAGAAACAGATTAGGATGTTGGTTACCAAGGCCTGGGAGGTGAGAGAAAAGAGGCAATGTTGGTCAGAATACAAATTTCCAGCTATAAAATAAATAAGCTCTGAGGATTTAATGTACAGTATAGAGATTATAATTAATATATATTGTATTATATACCTCAAAGTTGCTAAGATAGTAGATCTTAAATGTTCTCACCACAAAAAAGAAATAGTAATTATATGACATGATGTTGGTGTTAGGTAAAACTATGACAGTAATCATTGTGCAATATATAAATGTACCAAATTAACATTTGTTGTACACTTTAAACGTACACAATGTTATATGTCAATTATATCACAATAAAGCTGGGGGAAATAACACAAATTGTGGTATATTCATATACCAGAATACTCAGCAAGAAAATGCAACAACATGGATGATATTCAAAAGTAATTATACTAAAAGAAAGCCAGACAAAAAAGAGTGCATACTGCATAATTTCATTTACATAAAACTCTAGAAGATGCAAACTAAACTATGGTGATAGGAAGCAGACTGGTGATTGATCAGGAATCTTGGGGTGTGGAAAGCCTGGAGAGGAGCTGGGGGTATGATTATAAAGAGGCCTGAGGAAGTTTTTGGCAGTGATAGTTATCTTTACCATCTAATTGTGGTGTGGTTTCACAGCATACATTTGTGTCAAACCAAACAAACTGTATACTTTAAATATGTACAGTTTACTGTATATATCTCAATACATTTGTACACAAAATATGAACTACAGGTTTGTTTTTTTTTTAACGTTTTATTTATTTTTGAGACAGAGAGAGACAGAGCATGAACGGGGCAGGGGCAGAGAGAGAGGGAGACACAGAATCAGAAGCAGGCTCCAGGCTCTGAGCCATCAGGCCAGAGCCCGACTTGGGGCTTGAACTCACGGACCGCGAGATCGTGACCTGAGCTGAAGTCGGACGCTTAACCGACTGAGCCACCCAGGCACCTCTGAACTACAGGTTTTAAATCTGAAATGACTTTAACATTATTTACCTTCTTTGCACTCTTCTTTTTTCTTATCAGCCTGCTGTCTGGCCAATTGCCTATATAAAAAAACATATTAAAAATTTTAAAATAATTGACATAATCTTAAATCCCGTATTTCATGATAACTAAAAATAGGGTAAAAAGTTAAATCAGCTTGGAGAATACTAAGATACGTAAAAGGCTAAAAAACACTGAAAAATAAAAATCTTTAGAATATCTATGCTCATGTATGTTTAGTTACGGCTAAACAAACTCTGAGAAGCCTGTTGTGAAATGCAATGATACATGCATGAACTCTTAAACAGAATTAATCAAAGTATCTTAGTTAAAACAAGAAATTATATCATTACCCTAAGTATCTGGGTATAACTGAACTGTAAGTATTGAGCCAAAACAAGACAATGTGTTTTATATCATAGGAATATAGTTATTGCACATCCTTGAAATATTTGTAACTATAAACAGAACTAATGTCCCTTAGTGATGTTAATTTCCTTCTAAAAACATTTGCTGGCTACTAACTTTATGACGTGCATTATCATTCACCTGCAGAAACAGTCCCATTTATGAATCAGAGATCCCACTTACAAACTGGCAGACAGAATCTACTGAGTTGGAAATTAAACACTTTCAAAGGCTTAAAAAAAACAAGTACCCTCCCCTAATATTTCTTCCAAAATCCACTGAACAAACAAAACAGTTTATCTCATTAACTTATTTTTAGGGACACAATTTTCCATACCTAGATAGCTACATCTATCCATCAACCTATATGTCAAGCTATTTGCAAGTGGGCTGGTTATACACATGGGATTTCAAATGTGACATTTTAAAATAAAGTGGAACCATCTTATCCAAAAGTTAAATCATGTGTCCTCACAACAATGTAAGTCATCATTAACTCATTATCTCTTTTGGTAAGAACCAAGAACAAAATAAAAACATTTGAGCAATCCATCAACAGGTCAGGGCTAGCTTGTTCACAGGCTCATAGACATTTCTCATAAAAGAACCCCTCCCTCCATACCATGCAGGTCTACACTTCCTATTAGTCCCTATTAAATGCTAGAACACAATGATAAAACAATGTTCTGTCCGCCTCCTCTCCTCTCCCTCCTCTTTCTCCCTTTCTCACCTCCCTTCCTCCCTTCCTCCCTCCCTCTCTTTTTTCTCTGCCTGTTGGGGAATGGGAGCACCTCTCCCCTTGCAGGGGTTGATAAACTTTTTCTTAAACAGTTAGATAGTAAATACTTTAGGCTTGTGAGTCATAGTCTCTGTCACAACTACTCACAAAAACAATTCTAACAACGAAGCAGGAAAGCAGCCATAGAATGAATGGGCATGGCTGTGTTCCAATGAAACTATTTACAAAAACAGGTGTCTGGACTTTTCTCAACTCCTGCGAATCTGATAAAAGCTACAGATCTTTTCTACCTAGAAAACTGCATATACACATACAAGTTTATATCTTCTTTCAGAGGTTTCATATGCCCCCTGAAAACTATGATTATTGGACCATAATTAAGAACTACAGGACCAAAGAAATATAGATCCTGCCCTCAAGGTACAGTTACTCAAATCTTTCTATATTAGTCTAACAGTCTTAGTCCCCTGGTCTTTGAGCCTCGGAGAGAAAACAAAAGAGACGGAGGGACATAGAAAGAAGTAAAGAGATTACTACACTCAGGCAAACTAGCAACACAAAAAGGGTCACCCTGGTAAGAAACAGGAAACTACATGAAACAAAATTCAACAATACTGTACGCCACTTTATCTAAGTCTTATACAAACAGATCCTGATATCACTATGTAAAATAAGTCTTTGTAATAATGATCTTAATTCAGAGATTATTTAAGATAGAAATTCCTCCCCTCAGAAGGCATATAAATGGCCAATAAGCACATGAAAAGATATTCAATGTTATTAACCATCAAGGAAATGTAAATCAGAACCACAATGAGATACTTTCACACCCACTAAAACGGCTAAAACCAAAAAAAGATGGACTATGACAAGTGTTGACAAGGATGTGGAAAAACTGGAACCCTGATACACTGTTGGTGGGAATGTAAAACGGTACAGCTGCTTTAGCCAACTGTTCAGCAGTTCCCCAATGTCCCAGCAATTCACTCCTAGGTATATACCCCAAATAATCAAAACCCTATGTCCACACAAACTGAACACGAATGTTCACAGTATCATTCATAACAGCCACAAAGTAGAAACAATCCAAATGTCCATCGTGCAACGGAATCTTATTCAGGAATAAAAAGAATGGAGTGCTGATGGGTACTACAATAAAATGAACCTTCAAAACATACCAAGTGAAAGAAGCCAGACACATAAGGCCATAAATATGATTCCATTTACATAAAATGTCCAGAATAGGCAAATCCATGGAGATGGAAAGTAGATTAATGGTTCCTAAGGGGCCAGTGGGGAGGGAGAAGGAGGTGGGAGATAATATAACAGGATTTCTTTCTGGGGTGGTGAAAAAGTTCTGAAATTGGACAGTAAGCGATGGTGATACAATATTGTGAATATTCTAAAACCACTGAACTATATATTTTAAAATTGTGAATTTTATGGTATGTGAATTGTATCTCCATAAAGTTATTATTTAAAAACAATCTGAAAAGACAGGAATTCAATATATTTTCGAAGGAATCAAATTTAAAAATACCAAGTCACTCATCTTTAATTCTATTTTAAAACATTCCTTTATACATTTTGAACATAAGGTCCAGCACAACTTGAATAAGGTACAGATTTTTTATTCGTTTCACAACTTGAATAAGGTACAGATTTTTTTAAAAGATAAAGACTTTAAGGACTTCCAACATTAAATTTTTTTGACTATGTACAAGCCAAACGAGACATAGATTTATTTACATTTTATACAAATAAAACTATGCAACTGACCACTAACAAAAATATTAATATGAGGTTTTGCTGAAATAAAATAGCCATTTGCTGTGTGAATATGGTACAGACTGCTATCAGGTTCTCTTAAATTTGGTTTGTTGTATGTCATGACTCAATTCATCCACTTCTCTTTTTGAAGTATTCCAAACCTTCATTTCAACAGCATGTCATGACATCACATCCATGGCTTTCTCTTCAAAGCATTATTTATGTATTAAGGTCAGACTCAGTTTTTATCTCATGAGCCTGAGATAATTCAAGCAGTACTAGTTACTGCCAACTAGTTGTAAACACAAATGTAGGGCCTGAAATTTTATGACTATTCTCTGCAAGGTAGCAATTTAGATGATCCAGAATGTCAACTGTTACTTCAGATCATGAAAAAATTTTAAAATTCTCACACAGAATCCATGGGCCACTCCCCACACCCCAAGAAGACTTGAAGTTTCAGAAATACTGGGGTAGTTTAAATTGTATTTCAATCCTGTAAGTTGTACATTTCTCCCCCCACTTTAGCATCTCTGAAATTAGGGATGTGTCTTAAAATTGATGGAATGTCATAGTTTAACTTTCGGTGTTTTTTTTCTCTTTTACTGTCTCATGAAATAATGAGTGTTTAAATTGCTGCTATCTTGGATCCCATGAAATACAGTAGTAAACACGCCATAAATAATGGATGAAAAAATGGATGCATATTTTAAAATGTGTAATGAAAGACTATTTAAACAACAGTAGCAAAAAAATAGTAACAAAAACAAATTAAAAAAATTTTTTTTCAACGTTTATTTATTTTTGGGACAGAGAGAGACAGAGCACGAACGGGGGAGGGGCAGAGAGAGAGGGAGACACAGAATCGGAAACAGGCTCCAGACTTCGAGCCATCAGCCCAGAGCCTGACACGGGGCTCGAACTCACGGACCGCGAGATCGTGACCTGGCTGAAGTCGGACGCTCAACCGACTGCGCCACCCAGGCGCCCCAACAAAAACAAATTTAAAAGGGCATGATGTCATTTATCGGGAAAATCTGCTACATAAAATAATCAAAATAAACTTAAGAGGAGGGTTCTAGTCCTATAAGTCATTATGAGAAATTTATGAGAATATATAAAACAATTATTTCATCAAAAGAAATGTATTCTAATTAGTACTTTCCTGCTCATTTATGTTAGGCCCACCAAAGTGGGAGGAAAAGTAAAGGTTTTTAAAGATTTTTTTTTTCAACGTTTATTTATTTTTGGGACAGAGAGAGAGACAGAGCATGAACGGGGGAGGGGCAGAGACAGAGGGAGACACAGAATCGGAAACAGGCTCCAGGCTCTGAGCCATCAGCCCAGAGCCTGACGCGGGGCTCGAACTCCTGGACCGCGAGATCGTGACCCGGCTGAAGTCGGACACTTAACCGACTGCGCCACCCAGGCGCCCCAAAGTAAAGGTTTTTAGCTAATTAAATTTAAATCTGCCCCTAACCAAACAAATCCAAGTTCCCTGAATCACCTATCTAAATTCACTAAAACTAATTCCTTGAGTATTAAAATGGAATTCATGCCACCTATCTCAGGGTTCTTGAGAAATGAAATTTAAGTATGTATAAAGCATCTAGTCCCCTTAGACAAGTAAAGAAAAAAAAAATCATGTTCTGTCTCCTATGTGACTGCTCTAGAAGCATACTAACACAAATTCATAAATAACTCAGAACTGATTTGCTTGATAGCAAGCAAACAAATATAATTCCTATTTTGAATAAAGGCTTTGTATAATTATGAACAAAACCACATATCATAAACAAGTTAAAATGAAAAAGTCACAAATACACTCAAATAGTCTCAAGCAACTTTGTCAGCTGCACTCACACATATCACAAAGACTCTCTGTGAACAAGAAAATAAAAACAAACCTGGTACATATTAAAATTTTAATTCAATGATATTCATTTGTGGTAATTTCATTTCATCTTGATGACTGGTCAAGAATACACTTAAAAGTTAAATGCAAATCCTAAGTTACTTTAAAACTATTTTGAATTGGAATTCAACCATCTTGTATTACCTTGTAAAATGCCTTCCATTAGCACGTTTCTCTGTTATTTCCATATTCTTATCAAAACTAGAATCTGAAGAATTCTGTGCATTTTTTCTCAAAGACCTTAAGGCACGCGTCCGGTGGTAGGTTTCAACTTCCTTAACTGAAGACCCATCCTTTAAGAAAAATTAAGAAAGCCATCTAAGTTTTTCTTCAAACTCTCTAGTTAAACTCCTAAGAGTTTTCTTTGATTACAAGTTTTTAACAACTGCTTTTTGTGCAGAATCATTCTGCATCTCCCCAAGAAACTACAATAGTATCTAAACAATCATTTCATGATAAACAAATACCAGCAATATCTATGAAATAGCTAATATAAATTTTATTGATGGTTTGTGGCTCTATTTCATAGCAAGTACTCCAGGGAATAAAGTATATAGTTTATAACAAATGCTCCTTTTAGGCTACAGAAATAAGAAAGACCCACACACAAACCATTGCCTGTCATGCAACCACTGGCAGCAACTTTAAGATAACTGGACCATCAGAACTGTAATTTGGGCTTGGATGACAAAAGGAGTTATTACCATCTCTTTCATAGTTTCACCCAGATGATGCAACACTTGAATTAAAAAATTGTTTATGTATGTTAATCTGTTATAAAAACCATAGTGCTCTACGTAACTTTATTATTGCTCAATAGACTAGAGTTTCTCTTAGTGGGCTGCTTTATGAGCTACAGAGCTTGTCAGGAAGTATTCAAAAGTTCATACATATCTCTCTGAAATCATATAAAGGCTACTTTCACATAAAAATAAAAGGCCAAAGTACCTAACAAGTCTCTAATTACATGCCATACTACTCTGAAGATTGGTAATTCTAGAAAAACAGGCAGTATTTTTAAAAACCTGAAACATTAGTGTACCCCCAACCCCTTAGGCTGGCTTTACCCAGTCATTTCATTTTGTTTTATCAAGACATTTTATCATTTAATTTTGCTTTGAGCACTGGTTCACAAGTAAAATAAGGATATGTAAACCACAAGGATTTGTGTTAAGAATTAGACGGCTACTTCATAAAACATTAAGTGATATGAATGGTTTGATACCACTTTTATCAGTGTACCTACATGTAAGGATGGTTGAAAAAGGAATACCTTACACTTTTAAGTAGGTGTATTATTTTTAAAATGAACAGCTACATCTTAGATGGGTATAGTATAACAAGACTTTCTAAGAAAAATTTTATGGGAATCTATTTCCAGATTCTCAACTTCCATATGTACTAAAAAAAAAACAACAAAACTGATTTGCGTGAAGGCATCCTCTTCCATTTACCTTTCTCTCATTTTACAAAAGAAAGTCATGTCTCTCACTCATTCTCCATCTTACCATTGTGGACTGCCTCAAGGCCTTAAAAACCTTCCTAAAGCCAAAGAAAAACACTAGTGCAGGTGTTAAGAAAGTGAATGACAAAGCAAGGCAACAAATCCTTTGTTAGGTAAGGTAGTTTCTAATTTTCTGCTTTCAACAAAACTGAAAGGAGACCTAATCAAGCTAAGAGACCATGAAAAAAATTTCTGGGCTAGTGTTTTTCGGCATACAAGCCAGAAAGTGGCACTGCTAAACTCCTTTCATTACTGTCTACTTACTTATATGAACAATGTTTTTCATTTCTCAGTGCTTGCATTTATAAAAACAATGAAACTAATGACAAACATGATCTTCAGCAGTAAGATTCTTCCACAGATATATGGGTGGGGGGACTTCAACCACATGAAATCCTAATGAAATCTTACTTTCTATGTTTAATCATTTTTAATCAAAATAGGTATGTTTTTGCTGTTTGAATCAATTGAATATTAATAGATTATTTTTCTTATAGCCTTGTGATCACAAAAAAGTGTAAAACACTTCGAATTTTTACAAGTACAAAAGGACACTTAAATTACTTTTAAGTACAAAAGTATATCAAGATAAAATACTGTGGGTTAAGTGAATTAAGAATACGAATTAAAAGAGAGGAAAAAAAAGAATTAAGATAAAATTTCTGGCTGTTAAAGAATGTGTTTATGTATTTTTTAACGTCCAAGACAAATATTAAATAACTACGATTTTTAGATTCCAGTGGATAAAAAGACCGATGTAGCAGTTTTATTTTTTTAATGTCAGCACTACAGGATGACAGAAATGATCCCCTTCCTAACTACATAAACCAATCAGGATGGGAGAAACCTTAGATAGCAAAACCATTTTAAGGGAAACCTTTAAAAGTACAAGAGAATACAGAGAAACTCTTAGAATAAAACATGGGCAAAAACTTTCATAACATTGGATTTGACAATGATTTCTTAGATATGACACTGAAAGAACAGATAACTAAAGAAAAAGATCTGGAATTAATCAAAATTACAAACTTTTGTGCCAAGGATACTATCCACAGAGTGAATGGAAATCCATGGAACAGGGGAATGTATTTACAAATCCAATTAACTGACAAAGGATTGATATCCATAATATATAAAGAACTCCTATATTTTAACGACAAAAAACAATAAAAGAAATGGGAAGAAGACTTGAATAGATATTTCTCTAAAGAATATATACAAACGGCCAATAAACACAAAAAGATACCAAACTAGTCACAGAGAAACACAAAGCCAACCTACAAATGAGATGTCACTTCACACTTGCTAGGATGGCTATTATAAAAAAGAGAAAATAAGTATTGGTAAGTATGTGGAGAAATTGGAACCCCTGTACATTGGTGGTAGGGATGCAAAATGGTACAGCCACTGTGGAAAATGATATGGCAATTCCTCAAAAAATTAAACACAGAATTACCATATGATCTAGCAATCCTGCTTCTGGGTATTTACTCAAAAGAAGTGAAAGCAGCCATTTGTATTCTCATATTCACAGCAGCATTATTTACAATAGCCAAAAGTAGATGCAATCCAAGTGTTCAATGATGAATGGATTAAAAAACTGTGGTACTTACAGTAGAATATCATCCAGCCTTTAAAAAGGAAGTAAGTTTCAATACACTGCTATAATGTGGATGAACCTGAAGACATTAGGCTAAGTAAGATCACAAAAGGACAAATATTGTATGTTTCCTCTTATGTGAGGCTCGTAGGGTAGTCAAATTCATAGGGACAGAAAAGAATGGTAGTTCGTAGGTGCTGGGAGGAGGGAAGAATGGGGAGTTACTGTTTAATGGGTACAGAGTCTCAGTTTTAGAAGATAAAAGATTCTAGAAATGGATGGTGATGATGGTTGCAGAACAAAATGTACTTTAAGGCTACAAAACTGTACACTTAAAAATGGTCAAAATAGTAAATATGTTATCAATGTTTTATTACAATAAAAAAAGCAAGTAGTATCATCATACTCCTGAAGATAATAAAAAAGGTCTGTTTCCATAGGAAAAAGAGAGGGAGGTGCTAACTACTGGGAAAAAAGATTCCCTGAAAAACTTGGAAGACTTAATTTTGTAAGTGGTATAAGTCAATCTTTGATTTGCATAGTGAGTAGCTTCGTTCATGCTCCCTAAACAAGTGCTAGGCATCAAGAAAAGCTTTCCTTAACTGTTTGGAGAAAAAAACAAAACAAAACAGATTCTTGGGGAATCACCTACATAGAGGTACATAATGGGGAGTTTTAAAATATCAGTTTTCAAAAATGTTTCTTACAAAAGCAATATAAACATAAAAGCAATACATGCTCATTATAATTGGAAAATGAAGAAATGCACAAAGATGAAAACATCACCCTTAATTCCAGCTACCCAGGATAAATGTCAACCTTCTGGTGTATTAACTATTCTTTTCCTATGCAAACATATTCACACGATATTTAAATTGGACTATTATTTATGTTTTGTAACTTTTTTCTAGTAACACATTTCCCATGCCCTGAAATACTATTCTAAAAATCTTCTAAAATGAATGACTAGTATTCCAGCCATTACCTGAATCAATTTAATAAACTGCTTAATGAATTATATTTAAATTATCTGCAATTTTTCATGTTATAAATACTTCCAGATGGATTATCTTATAAACATCTGATTTCCTAAGGAAACTAGCACAGTTATTAAACCAAAGTCACAGTTTAATATAGCTTATCAAAATAATTCTCAAGGGGTAAGTTAAATGCCAACTGTGCATTAACATTTGATGATAGAAATGAGTACTTTCACTTTCTATTTTTTACATTTTTACATGTATTACTAGAAAAAAATTTTCTAATAAGTAAAAAGCCAAGAGAAAACGTGCTGAATCTGAAAACTAAACCTGGAGATGTAGTGTCCTCATTTATTTTTTTTTCAATCTACTTAAATAATGAGAGCACTGATAGTTCTTTAAAGTGGAGTTTTAGGGGCGCCTGGGTGGCGCAGTCGGTTAAGCGTCCGACTTCAGCCAGGTCATGATCTCGCGGTCCGTGAGTTCGAGCCCCGCGTCGGGTTCTGGGCTGATGGCTCGGAGCCTGGAGCCTGTTTCCGATTCTGTGTCTCCCTCTCTCTCTGCCCCTCCCCCGTTCATGCTCTGTCTCTCTCTGTCCCAAAAATAAATAAACATTGAAAAAAAAAGTGGAG